CCTCGACGCGTGCTTCACCCAAAAGCGCAGGCGCAAGCAAGGGGGACGAGACCCAGCGCGGACGCACCCGGGGACGCACTTCGTGCCAGAAGCGACGGCTCAAAAGATGGATGCGCATGTGGAGGGCGTCCGTCCGGCCAAACCTCCCAAGGCGAAGCACCCACGTGTGGAGGAGGAGGACGACGGCTATGAAGGGGACATGAAGGTTCCACGGTCGGTGCTGAACGAATGCGAATCCTCCTTCAAAGCTGCGGACGAGAAACGCGAAGGGGCCAGCACCCAATTCTTCGACGACACTGGGATCATGGCTCTCTTATGCCGCCACGACCGTGTGCTGTGGTTGGTCAACATGCGCACGCCTGGAGAGAAGCAGTACTACGCGCTGGCTCTCCTGGAGACGTTATTTCAGCATCTTCCCCCCGCCGTTCGGGTCGGCGTATTGTACGATATTGCATGCCAGTTACATCGGTCTTGCATCAAGTTTGGCTTCCTCAACCGCTACCTCCACCGTATACTCTTTGCGGTTTCCGTTTTCCATGCGTTTGCGCATCGCTGGGCGTGCCAGCTAATTTACCACCCCCTCAAATGCCGCGGCTTTGGCTTCACCAACGGGGAGGGGTGTGAGCGCTTCTGGCATTCGATCAGCAAACTTATTCCCCACCTACGAGTCGCCGGAGTACGTTTGGTTTCACTGTGACCGTATCTTGCATTGACGGTTAGACAGTATCACAATCGTCTCCACACCATCGATAGTCAGGTGGAGCATGCAGACAAGGCCAGCCTGGGACGGCTTGGGTCGTGGCTCGTACGCCGCACGGTGCACTGCGAAGAGAAACTGCAGGAGGCGCGAAAAGAGCTAGCGACCTGTGGTTTGGCGGAAGCGGTCCTCAGAAGCGAGTGGGAGAAGCAAGTGGAGGCACAAACGAAGCCGGCGCAAAGTGAGTTGTATTGGGTTCAGAATGTGTGTCCGACCTGACTGTCCAATGCATTGCAGGACGGTCGAAAGCGCGAGGAACTGCGGCTGTCGAAGAAGTGATCCTCCTGCGCAAGCGAGTGGACGCGTTGTTCCAGACAATGACCGTCTTGCAAGAGGCGCTGGGAGATCCCAAGTCCACTGCCCATGTGCTGCTCTACGCGGAGACTCACGTCAACGACGCGCGCCAGGCTTGGAAGAACGCCCAGCAAAAACTGCGACGACTCGAGCAGCAGTTGGGGGTCACAGACGCCACCATGCTCCAGAAACTTCGCCACAGCGACTACTACGCCGCACGGATGAACGCGAAGGTCCTGAAGGAACGGCTTCGCCAGAGGCTGCGCGAACGGAAATTCGAGTTGGACCTGATTGAGAGGTCGTTTCGCCGGACGAGAAGTGGTCAGGGTTTTTCATTGGTGTTCGATTGGGGGCTGACAATTGGTTTACTTTCTGACTCTAGAAAATCAGCGCAACGACCACGCTGGTGCGGCAATCAAGCGCCGTGAGCCGACTATCAGCAATACGGTCAAGGAGTACAACAAGCTCTGCGCAGAAATATCGACACTACTCAAGGCGAAGAAAGGGCCGGCGGGTGCAGCGGCTCCGACTCCCATTCCGGCGAAGGGCGTATACCAGTTGGACGTAGACGACGTGATCTGGCAGGATCTGGGATTAGACGACGACACCACGCCTGAGCTTTGGCTCGTCGACGCGAAGGTCCGGGCAGGGATCCGTGCGATGCTGCAGAAGGACCGTTGCGAAGAAGAGGCGCCGCGACTGCTGCGAGAACGGAGGCACATGCAGCACTGGTTCGCCATTGAATGGCAGGCAGTATTGCAACTGATTGACATGTCGGAAGGTAGGTCGGCGAACATGGTGTGGGTGCACGCGGTAAAACTTACAATGATAACTCAGGAGCTTTGCGTTATCAGTTCCAGCTGAGGCGGGAGGAGCTGCTGCAGCTTTGCGTGTTGTGGAGAAAGTCTTTGGATGCGCTACCCTACGCTGGGGACCTACCAGCATGGGGTCCGACGGACCAGGAGATATTGGAATGTCAAATCGCGGGGGTCACCGCGTCGTACGGAAACGGTGAAGAATCAGACAACGAGCGGACGGGCGAGGAGGAGGACGAGGACGAGGGTGAGGACGCCGAAGAGGGCGAGGACGAGGACGACGACCTGCTGTATGTCTTAGAAGCAGTGGAGCGCGCCGATACTCACCGGCGTGGGGATGTTGACGAAGTGGAATGGGTTTTTGAGGACGACGAGGACATTTTTACTTAGGACATTTTTACTTAGTGTACACTGCTACAGAATCAACGTGGAGTTTCAAAAATCCAAGTACAGGGTGTTGTATCCGGCTGAGGTGGGTCCCGAACAATACGCCACAAAGCAACGCAACGCTTTGTAGAATTGCCACAGGTAGATCCTCTTGGAATTGGTATTCATTGGGGAACAATGGAGGAAATCGGCTAGGTATTCTGGAAACGACCAATGGTTGGAATTGGTATTCGTTGGGAACAATGGTGGAATTTTCCCAGGTGTGGTGTGGAAACGACCATTCGTCTGGAATTGGTATTCGTTTGGGAGGACAATGGTAGGGCTGGGAGGTTATAAATCCGTGCGTTCTCGTGGGTCCGCAAACCACTACTCGCCTTCTTCACCCACACCTTGTGCTCATGTCCCAGCAGACGACCCTCCCGCAATTTTTCCCTGCCACCGCGGCAACGGAACAACAAGTACACGTCCCCGCGACGCCGTCTCCCCCGACGCCTTCTCCGTCGACGGCGTCTCCCTCGACGCCTTCACCCGCGAAGCCTTCTGCCTCGACGCCGTCTCCATCGACGACGTCTCCCTCAACGCCGTCACCCACGAAGCCTGCTGCCTCGACGCCTTCTCCATCGACGCCGTCTCCCGCGAAGCCTTCTCCCTCGACGGCTTCTCCCGCAACGACGCCCCCAGGCTTCTACGCTGCGAAAGAAGGTGGGTGCCCTCGTACTGGATGTGCCGCAAGGTTGCTCATGTGTTAGTAGAGAACCGTACAGCCAGCGTCATCAAATCCCGGGAGACAAGGAAGCTTCCTGTCCTTCCATCCTGGTGTAGGGTGCGCGCCACCGGCCGCGATGATGGTACGTGCCTCAGTATTGAGTGGCGCCCCGGATCTAATTTGTTGTCAGAAGGGGCTACGCTCAGCTCCAAAGAAGACAGCGACGAAGCGGGCGATGCCCAACCTGCTCCCAGTGCATCCAGTTCGCCGAGCCGCTTGCCGGCTGGCTTGGACTTGGCTTCCGACCCCGACTGGGACAACGACTGGCGTGAGTACCTAGCCGCGCACGCTGAGATGGATCAATCATGGAGGGAGGCATGCGCGTTGATGAAGGAGCTCACGGAGAATTGCAAGCGCCTGGACAAGCGGAAGGCCGAGTATGCCGAGGCTGTTGAACGCGCGGAGAAGCGCCGCCGCACTGCCTACGAGTAGAGTAGTTAAGGATTGTCTTTGTAACAAGCAATAGAATACGACATCTTCGACTTTGTGATTTATTACCCTGTTTATAAACATCATGCCGTTTTTCCGCTTGGGAGTTTTTGGATATTGGGCTATGAGCGCTGCGGGCGGTTGTTTAGCGCTCAAACAAGCGCCTGTGCCTAAGGAACTCAGGTAAATGAGACTAATTCAATCTACCTCGCTAACTCATTGTATGTAATGTATTAATGAACGTATGTAATGTACAGTTTTATTCACTGTATTGACTAATATACAGTGTCGACCGAGGGTGGTGCCAAATAACAGACAACAAACGCTACGGACCCGATAAGGCAATTTGGCGCGGGTGAACAAAGAAAAGGAAAGAAAAGAAGGCAGAGGTTTGTGGCCGAACTAAATGGAAGGACAGTCTTGTGCCCCTCAGTTCGGCTTCGTTGGTTAAAGAGAACAGATGTGTAGAATTGAGTGACCCGGAGGCGCATGCCAAACAGGGGACAACAACCGCTACCATCCCGATAAGGCAATTCTGCCCGGGTGAACAAAAAAAAGGAATTAAATAAGGTAGAGGTGCGTACTCAAAATCAATGCAAACACAGTGTCACACCCATCATTTCGGCTTCGTGGAAGGTGACAGAGGTGGACAATTGAATGTTATGCCATTCGTCAACTTCAGTGTATTTTCATACAACATTGGAGGGAAGGGGGGCTCCGGAATCGACGTGGATTCATCCATAGCTGGATGGAGACGCCCAACACATCCAAAAGAGCCGGGTGGGCGCATCCACGCGCCGGGGATGCCGCGATGGACGTGTCCACGTTGGGTGGATGCGCCCACAGCTGGAGGCCGAAGTGCCGGATGCATCCACGGGTTGAACGAAAATGGATGGGTGCATCCAGCCCTTGTGGACGCCTCTTGGACACACCCATCGCGTACAGGATGGGTGTGTCCATGGATTTTGCTGGTTACATCCATGGCTTCAAATAAAAGCCATGGACGCATCCACGTCCTGTGGACGCATCCATGGCAAATGTCAACCAAATGCGGTGGATGCATCCGCGGCTTCAAATCAAAACCGTGGACGCGTCCACGGGCTCTGGATGCATCCACGGGGAATTTCGGGGAAATGCCGTGGATGCGTCCAGAGGGTGAAATGAAAAGGTGTGGACGCACCCATGGCCGGGTGGACGCGTCCACGGCGAATTGGTGGAGACATCCAGGCGTAGGGCTGGACGCAACCAGAACGGGGGGTGGATGTGTCCATTGCAATGGCATGGACGCGTCCAATGGCACAAAATCACAGTAGAGTAGCCACAATATCAATTCACATTGCTTTTGTTCGCAAAAAGATTCAGACAAAAAAAGAACTGAACAGTATTTATAAGACATTGCCGGGAATCGAACCCAGATGGTCATGTGAGGGAGGATGAGACAAGCTTCAACACAACCATTACACCATGTTGCCTTTTCAACTTCTGGGAATCACAGACTCATGTGTCCAACAACGGCGCGTTGAACAAAAATAGAGGGAGATTGTCCTTGGCACGGGAGTGGTAGGATTTGAACCTATACCATTGCAGTGGCTAGTAGTGAGCAGTACTACAACCATTACACTATACTCCCTTTTTAAATAATTGTACTGCTGAACCAAAGTACTACACAGACACTGTTCAATTTGGTTCAATTCATACGGTCACAGGTTACAAGCCCTAAATTGTATAAAAACTTTCAATAGCCCCACTGCTTCAGAGACGATTTTGGCCTAGCTAACCTAGCTGAGAGAGGTCGAAAATAGCTAATTGTGATCTTACGAAAGGTTCAATGGATATTGGTTTTCACTTCTGAAACCAGTATACGAACGGGAAATGAAACAGTGCTTGATTCAGTGAATCCTGCGGCTAGAGAACGGAGTGCAGAGGAAGCTAGGCAGCTAGCGTTAACATCGGATGCAGAGCAGGGCAGCAAGGTGCAAGGCGAGCGGAGCAGGCGAAGCGAGCAAGGAAGGGTGGTACGGTCGGTGCGGCACAGTGCAGCGCGGACCATATGGGAGTGCGTGTAGATAGCCTGAGGTATCAACAAGCCCCAGAGAGCAGTGAAAGCAGCGAAAACGGCTAAATAAGCGTGCTAGAATCAAAAAATTTCGGGCTGCGCAAGCGCAGCATGGTTGTCTCCACAATCAATGTGGATGTATCCACAGTGGTCACGTCACAGACCCATGGACACATCCACTGCTGGGCGTATGGTTGCGTCCAATGCCGTGGTTGCACCCAGCGCCTTGGTATCAAACCACGGATCCCGCCCCCAATAGGTACATCTTCTATTTGGTCAGGACGGGCCTATTGAGGTCTGGTTTGAGGTAGTCTGAAGTGACACCTGTGCCGACCGTATCAACGCCACGAAGCCAGGAGAGCTGGCCCTCCTCTGCCCTGCGTGCCCTCAACCGGGTAAAAACTTGCCGCCGGGTTGGGACCAGGTTCCCTTCGAGCAAGGGTACGTCGCCGTCTTGTAGTAGATGTGAGGCAACGCTGACGGCGACTTTCCAGGTACCTATACGGGTTGTTCTTAGCGATGGACGCCAACTTCCGCCTCAAACGTAAGGACGTCTCCAGCGAGGAGGCAGATCCTGGGCTGAGTAGGGGTTGGGCATTTTTCGGAGACGTGAAGAAGTACATGGCCCACTTGGACCAGAATTGGGATCAAAAACAAGAGGTAAGCTTCGAGTTCGGAGATAGCGTGCAAGACGCTAACGCACCGGGCAGCGGAGCACCTGCGTAGCTCATGACGCGGTGGATAAGCCAGACCGGGAAGCGCTTGGGACAGCGTCTTCGGGGATCGGGACCGTGGATTGCGCTCGCCATAATATGAAGCGTCCGCTCGGGGTGGGCGACTTACAAAAGGGAGAGAGGTACACTTTTGTAACGGCGATTCGTTTATTCCAATAGCTAACCGTACCTTGCAACAGATACCTGAATATGGACTACATGTTCTTCATGAGCTTGGCAGGGACCCAGCTCGTACGACTTTTCGTGTCCTACGACATCGCCTGCCAGTGGTTCAAGAACCTCTGGACGCGAATGCTGATCTTCGACATCAGCATTCGTTTTGTGGAGGGAAAAAAATATGTCGTGTTCCTCGTACCGAAATTCCACCTGCCGGCGCACATCGAAGAGTGCAACGTCTCGTTCTCTTTCAACTTAACGCCTTTCGTTGGGCGCACCGACGGGGAGGCTCCCGAGCGTGGTTGGGCAGACGCAAATCGGCTCGCGAACAGCACGAGCATCTCGGGCCCCGGTGCTCGACGCGACACCCTCGACGCTCATTTCCAGTACTCAAACTGGAAGAAAATCGTAAAACTGGGTACGCCATTAGAGCTGGAACAAGGAGGAGTAAATACTGATGAATGTCTAGGAACTCTTTTGTTAGGCCGCATGAAGAAAGCCGTCCCCATGATGCTCGAGACACAAGCGGCATGGGTCGACTTGGAGGCCTCGTTCCCAGCAGCGGTCATCGAGGTGTGGACGGAGAAGGCGGTAACGTGGGAGAGGGATTCCTCCAAGCCCAACCCGTTTGCGACGACGACGAAGCACGAAGATCTGCGAGAGGTGCGCCGTAAATTCGCGGTGATCGCTTCGGAGGACGTCCTGCACCGGCGGGTTCGAGGGGACATGCACGAGACGGAAATGCTCTCCATGGGCCTCCAGCTCGAGGCGCAACAGTACGCCAATGTTCTAGGTTCTGTGTGATGGAGCTAACTGGGTAAACATACAGACGAGCGCTGGGGAGGCATGTGAAGAGCGTGGGTGCACACGAGACCGTTGACCAGGGGCGCCGGCGAATCGAGCGCGAGACGAAGCTGCGGCGCAAGATCGACACCTGGATGGTCGTCCAGCAGCTGTTCATCCCGGAGGTCGCGATCCTGCGGGAGCGCGAGGACGCCGAGCGCCAGCGAGTCGCCGCGACCCAGCCACTACCTGGCATGCGAGCTCAGGACATGAAGCTGTGGCTTCCATCCGCGATCGGCAGGTCAGTGGAGTGTGACGAGACGCTGCAGCTATACGAGTACGACCTTCGCAAGGGGCAGGCGATTGCGGCACTGGACGAGATGCGCAACGACCTCCTCCTCCGTACGCACGAGTACCGGTACAGGGACGGCGTGCGTGGGGTCAAGGCAAAAACGCGCTCAGGAACGAGAACCAAGGCCATTCAAGCGCGGATCGACAGCGCGGCGGAGGAGTACCGCGGTGCACGCGCCGCTCTCGTGAAGCTCGGCGCCTTGCTGAGACGCAGCGAGTGGGAAAGCTACCTGAAGCCGCTGAAGGCGGAAGACGTGCGGGGAAGGCCTAGCGCCGTTTTCGGCGATGATGAGAGACGTAAGGGTGGGGGGGGGAAAACCAAGAGGGCGAGGGTGGACGATGAAGAAGACGTGGAGCGGACAGCGGCGAAAGCGCAGGACAGGATGCCGATGTCGTGGATTTGGTTATCTGAGGGGACCACCGGAAAGGAGGAGGATGTGGTAGAAAGCGAGCGTAAGTGCACCAATTTCAGCCTCTTCTGATACTCAGTCATCTCTCACACACGCAGCACTTCGTATCGAGTGGGCGAAGACTCGCGCAAAAGCGATGCGATACGCCGAGGAGGTCAACCTCTTGGAGGAGGAGATGCGGCGCGTACTTCAGTTCCTGGAGTGGCGCGCGGAGTGGTGGAGCTCGCTGGTGGGCCTGCGGGCAGTACAGCAGGACGACGAGGCGCTGCGGGAGGGCCACGCCGCGTACGCGATCAAGCAGGCGGGATATATGAAGGGGCTCAGCGCACGGTTCGAGAAGCAGTGGCAGCACGTCCCGTCTTGGCTTCAGGACACGCGCGAGGTGTATGCCTCCATGGAGGCAGATGCAGACGACGACAACGATGGGAAGGAGGGCGGCGCGGACGTCGAGCGGGATGCAGATTTGGGCTGGCTGTCTGACTGAGGGAAAGGTCGCACTGGACGATTCGACGATCACGCATGGACGTTTTGTTTGTATTATGAATTACGGAGAGAGTAAGTACAGGTTCTGACTTGTACTACATCGTTTTGTAAAGGGATGGGCTCAGAAATGAGCTCACGGGCGACGTGCGCGTTCTGGCGCAAAATCCTAAAAATTGCCTGTTTGGGATATTAGTCAGCCCGCCGTGAAGGATTTACCAAACATTGAGAAACACTCTAGGAGCTGTGGTCAACGACGAGCTCAACGCTGGTGTCGACATTGGTGGCACGGCACGGCCCTGCAGCCTAAATGGTAAGTGCTCTGGGATGATGCATCATCACGCTGCTCTGACGAGAGCTCTAGATACATCACGGCTTTGCTCTCCTGAGAGAGCGTGATGTATCAATGCGCCAGGTAGTACACATTCAAGTTGCTGGTACTCAATGTAACGCGGCGAGCACCTTGGACGGCGATTCGGCGTTAAATACGCGCGTGCGCAAGGGCTCGGGGACGCACCTCTCCCCGCTCCGCGCGCTGGGCTCGGCTGCCGGAGCCGTTAATGCGTGCGCTGAACTCGTGAGTCCTCTCCGCTACTCAGAAGCTAGATAACAATTCCAGCTGCCTTCGCGCCCTCACCTTCCCGCTCGTGCCTCGCTTCCCTATCCGCCGGTCCATCGACCGCCCCCGCACTGGTCTACAGCGTACGTGGACGTGGCGGCGTGGAGCGTGTTTGTCTGGGCGGGAGAGCGCGGCGTGGTGTGCGTCTGCGGTCGAGTACGAGGTGTCCTTGCTCGAGTGTGGGGCGTCTTCTGGAGAGAAGTGCGTCCCGGCTGTGAAGCGGGAGCGCACCCCCAAACGCCGCTTTACCACCTCTCACCCTCTTTATACTAACGCCCCCGCGCCCTGCTCCCCACCTCGATCTTCCTCTCCACCGCGCGTCCCCATGTGCGATTGAACGAGTTGATTAGAGTGGGGACGAATATCGCTGTAGGGCGGCAACTCTTGGGGCTTGTCAGCTGTATAGGATGGGGACGGGGTGAGATAGAAATAGAATTGAAGCGATACAGCGACGTCACACGATACCGACGCGATACCTGGTACCACCGCCACGGCACCTCCCTGACGTACACTCAACTCCCTCGCACTTACTTATTCGTGCATCTTTTTTGGGCTCCAGCCGACTCGCACAAGACGTCGACCTACATTACATCCGCGCCTCATCATGTACACCGAGTACCATCCCAGCACCAGCCCTAGCCCCGGCGGTATCTTGTCGCCATGCACCCTCCCCTCTACATCATTCCGAACCCCGCTCCCCATCTTCTCCGAACAGCGAACACATTGCTCATACTTACACTGGTGACCTAGACACATAGACCTGCATGTGGCATGCCCGCAACACACACAGCATTGCACATAAAGCACCCTCTCTTCCCCTCTTGCCATCTTTCGAGGAGGGGGGAAGTGGCGCACGGATTATCACGATAGGCTCGAATCCAGCCTGTTGTATCGAAACTCACCACATAGTTTCGATACGACAGACGGTCACCGGTCTATCCTCACGACCGGATGTGTAAAAGTAGTGTACGAACTTCACATACTAGTAGTGATAATATAATGATATGCTATGCAGTGGGATGGAGCCGGGAGATATACATA